ATGTATAATCAACAAGAAACACAAATCCTACTTCACTCAGGATTGCATGTCAGGTTGGTCCATATTTAGTTGGGTTATGTCCTGAGTCGTCATTTGGCCAGAACAAAATCTTATGGTCACTAATTTTACTAATAATCTCCTTTGTACCAATTCCTTTCTTTTAGATTTTATCTCCAATACAATTTTAGCAGAAGTCAAAGTTAGCAAATTGGTGCTACAAATTTAGAAGCAAATGTCCTTGAAACAAATATATGGAGGATCATTCTAATATGCTCATTTAGATTGATTCCAGCTGAAGAAAAGTAGTGGAAACCTCCCTTCCTTCCCAAAGGTTTTCTAAGCACAAGTAGAAGACATAAGACATTGTGGTGTCAAAGATTGAAGTAAATATTATACAAACAAATGAAAATATGAGAGATTCCTTCATGAACAAACTGAAATGTGACAATTGGTTCCTTTAAATGTGTACTTTCTTGTTTGATTGTTCTGATCGCCTTTAGACATGGTAGGCAAGGTTTACTACAATGGATGTTGTCATTAATTGGTATGTTTCTACACATTTTTTTTTTCCTAAATAAAGCAACTTTGGATTCTACTTTGGATATACCTGGAAAGTCTTCCTAAATTAATTATTTCAGTTCACAATGGAGTAGGTTAGATTTAGGGTTACATTCTTTTGAAGTCTACTTTCTGACAATAGTTTCTTTCGTAAGTGTGTTGGCTATCTTAGAGTACATGTGATAATGTATTTTTTGAATGTATCTAAATTATGAAGGTACAAAAAAAAATAGGCACAGTTTAACCCCATAAACATTATCCAAAAGAAACTATGCAGAATGTGAAAATTATCGGAAATCCTAAGTGGACTTGAAGGGAAACTATTGCAGCATCCAGTTAACATAGACATGGGGCAAAGAAGAGTTTTTTGCCTGTTTATTTCTTCTGGAAGAACACCCAGCTGCCAGTACATTAGAAGGGTAATGAGAAAATTAGAGAGTTCAAGTCAGAGCTTGTCCTTTTAAAAGGTTTAATTGACTCATTTTTGTCTTATGCGTCAGGAATGCACAAGTCATCTTTTAAACTATATGCATGTAAATGTAATTCATTGGACAATGTCGGTAGAAATATTTTAATGATTTTAAAGCCAGTGTTTATTTATTTACCATTAATATCCCATCTTTCCTCCTATAGCTTAAATTGGCTGTGTATGTTAGTTCATCTTCTAATTGTTTTTTATCCCATTGTGTTGAGAAATAATTACTTGCCCAATGTCATCCAGTGAGTGTCCAAGGCTAGCCCCAATTCTCATCTAACGCTTAACTTGTGATTGCATCCCTGAACATTTGGCATATTATGGAAACAGCCATGATCTTAATCAACATAATTTGGCAGACATTTGAATGGCATTTTGCATAGCATAGAGATATTTAGAGTCACAAGATTTCTTAGTCTTAATCAGAAACTGACATTAGCAAAATCTCTCTAGTTATCAATAATGACCAACACAATTACTCTTTTGAAAGAACATGAAGCTGTGAATTTGCAGCTTTGAAAACTGCAGAGTTAAGTACTGATGTCAAATGATTTGGTACTGGGCTGCAAGTGTCTGTTTTAAGTGAAAGGGAAGCTATAAATAGAGAAGCTGATTTTCAAACATGGCCAAATAAATTTGAAAATAGGTATGTAACTAAATCAAAATTTGCACTATTTTATTATGAAGAGTAAAGGCGCTGCTAGGAGTTTCAGAAGCTAACAGAGTACAGTGTAAATAAAGTAGTGGTTCTGAGTTAACTGCAGCAATAAACTGTTTTTGTGTTTCTTGAGACCATCTTGTACAAGAATGTCAAACCTCTAACTTTTGAGAAGTTCCCCCCCCCCCGGGAAAAGAGATTTCTTGAAAAGTTCAAGTACAGTGGAACCTTGAGTTATGAATTTAATCCGTTCCGTGACTCTGGTTGCAACTCGAACTGGTCGCAACACGAGGCAAATTTTCCCATAAGGTTCAATGTAATTACCTTTAATCCGTTCCGGCGTCTGCGGACCACGCGTCAGGGGCGGAAAAACGGCCGCGGACCATGCGGCAGGGCGGAAAAATGGCTGCAGACCATGTGTCGGGTGGAAAATGGCTGTGGACCACATGGAACGGGCGGAAAATGGCTGCGGATCATCTGTCACCAGCCTAGCACTGAGGTTCCAGCCACCACTGTATATGCTCATGGATAAGAATACTCCAGGCCTTTTATGAAGGTTTCAAGTTTAGTCCTGCTTTTCTAGCAACTTTTCTATCGCCCTCTATGTTATCCAAATGAAGAATAAAGCAGAAGGACATGGGTGGCCATCAGAAGCCACAGTGGGTCCATGATATTGAGTAAATGTTGCAATTACATTATTCACATTATCTGCATGATTACATCATGGCACTTGTAATGCCATTTGCTGTTCTTTACCCTGTGTGGTTACTCATGCCAAAAGAAGACTCAGAAACAAATCCTGTTCTATGTTGTTTCTGTTCATATGCATAGGTGCTTCACTGGTACCTGTTGAAGCTCATTCCATAATCTTCGTTAAGGTTTGAGATCAGATTGTAGGATCATGCATCTGCTACTTACACCCACTATGGACAATGGCATGAATTCCCCCTGCTCTCGTTAACTATACTCAGCTTTATGTTGACACCATCCTTAAGCAAGCATTGTTAAATCTTAGGTCTCATTAAGTCCTTGTTATCATTAAGGTATGTGTTAAGTCAGGTTTAAAATCAAGGTGAGACAAAAGCAATAATGTAAGGAGGGCTAGATCAAGACAGTGTCCAAACCTTAATCTTGCTACCAATCCCGGAAGTGTGGTTGAGTTACATGAAGCATGTGTGTTTCATCTCCTGTTAACTTAAACTTGGTTAATCTTGATTTGGTTTGGTAAAATTGGTTCATGTTGGTTCATGTTCAATGTGATTTATTTCACAGTGCCTTAGCTTAATGGGATTCACCTGTAGATAATCTAATCTAGATAATTTCCTAATCTGTGCACATTTTCAAGGAAGCTTTATGCAGTAATCACCGTACTTTGCAAGCAGAAGCTCTGTTTTGAAGATATGGAGGAAAAAAGGACACGTGCTGTAATTCAGATCTAGAGAGGCCTTCTAGTAATCATTCAATCATCCAGACAGAGGGAAGAGCTTTTTCAGTAGAAGATGTCCTCTGGAGGGAGGATCAACTATTACTTAGTTTACTATTGTTTGAATACTGAAAACTTCCTCATTTTCCCAGGCTTTTCAATATTGCTATGTTTTAGCATTTTAACTATTTTAAGCTGCTGTAAGTAGTTATTGACTGGAATGTATTATTGTACTTTTATTTTATGTTTAGATTGTACTGTAATAATTTATATTTTTAATATGTTTAAGCTACTCTGAAAATGCTGATTGGCCATTGAGTGGGTTAAGAATAAATTTTGGGAAGGAAAAAATACATGATCATTCTAGATGGTGGATGTCAACTATTTCCAAGCCCTCCTCACCAATCCCCCACCCCCATGCTGGTATCTTCCAGAAAGAATAAATGCTGTATTCCTTTTCTTTTATTGGACATCATTCAATATAGCAGAAGTCTCATTATATCATAACCAGTCTGTGAACATGAAAAGTATAAGGGTGCATAACCATCTGTGGTTTGATTCATACAAAATGCTGTTATAGCTTAGTTTGTTTATTTTTAATCCACCAATTGTGTGTGTGTGTATGTGTGTGTGTGTGTGTGTCTTTGAGTCAGTGTTGACTCCTGGTGACTGCCTGTTTTCTTGGCAAGGTTTTTCAGAAGTGGTTTGCAATTGCTTGCTTCCTAGGGCTGAGAGAGAGTGACTGACCCAGGGTCACCCAACTGGCTTGGTGCCTAAGGCAGGACTAGAATTCATGACCTTTTGGTTTCCAGCCTGGTGCCTTAACCACTACATCAAATCAGCTTTCTAATTATGGGTTAGCATTGTATACAATGAATAAATGTGTAACAATCCATACTTAACACTTCCTGCTTAACATGTGTTAAAGTAACCTATTACTGAGTTTATACACATAAAGCTAAATTATTGTTTCCTTTAATTATAATTTTTTTAAATTAGCAATAATGAGTGGATTCTCATGTAGCATGGACCTATATGGTTTACAAATCACAGTAAAATGGTTTGCAAAACTTGTTAAGCTAAAGGTGAACAAAAGTTATGATTCAGTGTAATGTGTGAATCAAGATTGTGTGGGATAAAGAATATAACTCTCACATGTTACATACTTATGAAGAACAGAAATTAGTGTTCAGGATTTAAAAAATTTTTTTTTGCTCTCTAAATAAATCTAGAAGATTACAGAAATTTAGAATGTTACAGTGGCAGCTACTGATGTGAGGATTATCTTTCACACATTATCTGAAAGTGTTCGGTCACATCATTAATGGTCCATTAATGATGTGACCGAACACTTTCAGATAACACTTTGGTATTATTTTTGAAATGAACCATATACTCTGCATTTAAATCCAAAGAACTTTACAGCTGTAGTCAGAACTTTACTGTGCCATTTAGTGTCCTTTAGCTTTTAAAATTATTTCTGAGTAGCAGTGCATAGGATTGTAATATAAAATTAAAACGATCAAGACTTCTGAAACATTAGCCAACCAGAGTCATGCATTTTGAGATGGACATCGAAAAAAATAAAATATAACATGGATAATACTTCATATTCTACTGCTGCTTTGGAACAAATCATACTCCAGTATGAATATAAATTAATATTATTATTTCTATATATAAAGGAATAGAACTGATTATTCAGACTCTTCCAGGATAATGTTTACCTTATTGATTTTGGTGATAAATAAGTTGCCGGTGGAGCCTGGTTTTATTCTATAGAGTATGTCAATAGAAATACAGGTAGATTTACAGACACATATTTCAATTATGTGTTTGGTTTGTTCAAAACATAAATGATGCAAAAATGGTTTTTCTTTCTTCAGGTCATTGATATGCCTGAACATAATCCTGGTGATATGGGAGGAACAATGAGACTAGGGAAAAGGAAAACTATCTTTAAAACAGAAGACTCTATCTTAAGTAAGTCATAACATCTTTGGCTGAATCTTTTGCTTTTATGTTCAAATCATATCATAGAATCTTGTTCAAATATATACTGTTTTAAGCATAACATTAATTTCATTCAAAATGTCTTAAATCCTAATTGTAACTGCTATTAAGTTTCTACTTTCAGAAACCATTAGCAAATTTTAAGACAGATATAAAATGATTGCAGGATCAAGTTTCCCTTCACATTAGGATTTTGAAGGATGTAGTAGCAGCTACTTATGGCTGGTGCTTTCTACAAAAGCTTAGTTTGCGAGACTGTGATAGAAGCAACATCTCTACCACTATCACCATGCAAGTAGCAGAAAAATTGAAGCATAGGAACAAGGTACTACTTTCACTTTCTGGTAAATAATTGATCAAGGACAAACACCCCTCCTATCCAAAAGTAGAATGAAGAAAGGAACAGATCAGTGGCAACAGAAGAATTGGGTTCATTAATAAGCAAAGTCAAAATTCATTTCCTGCCACAGAGTTCCAAAATCTCTGCTTGTAGTCTATAACTATGTAAGTTGTTTTGGACAACAGTCACCCATCTCCAACCTTTCCTTTTGGGAAAGGGTGTTAAGGTGGTAGAGATGCATCAGTTTACAATTGTTCTGCTTCTTCCAGAGTGGATGGTTTCATTCAGTGTTGTCAGGGAGAGGTTGAACACTTTGGGCTTTCCTATTTTGGCTGCCTTAGGCTTGGCTCTTTCCCCCATTCTTTTTAAAATTTATATGAACCCACTGAGAAGGACATTTGTCAGTTGGTGGTGAGGTATCATCAGAATGCTAAGTATATAAGTATACTTGTATATCTCTAAGCCAGGTCTAGCAGATGTGGTGGAAGCCTTGACCCAATGCCTGAAGGCTGTGAAGTACTGAGTGGGGCAGTATAGGCCAAACAAGAAGGTGTTATGTGTTCACAAGCCTTCAAATTCCAGGGTAGCTCTGCCTTTAATTCTGGACTGGGTTGTCCTATTCCTGAAGGAGCAGGTGCACATTTGGGCAGTCCTTCAGGACCTAAGGCTCTTACTAGGACAGCAGGTAGAGGCTATGGCTAGGAGAATCTGCCCAGCTTTGGCTAGTGTACCAGTTACAACCTTTTTTGGAGTGGAATTCTCTAGCCAGGTGTAAAAGCAAAGGTGTGCAGGAGCCATTAAGGGAGAATAAAAGACAACTTGGTCCTTTTATTCCATAAGGGGAAGGTATGAGAAATAAACTCAAAATAACCCCACCTTGATTCTCTTTGGTATAAGAGGGGGCAGAGAAAGACTGGCAGGCTTTCAAAGTTGTGTTATTATGCCCTACAACAATAAAGTAGCATTCCTGTAATCCTTGCAATGTCTCTTTCCTGACATAACCTACCTCATAGGGCTGACATAACGGCAGCTCATATCTTTATCATCTTGCAAATGGATTGCTGCAATTCACTTTATTTGGGACTGCCCTTGAAGACAATTCAGAAATTACAACTGGTACAAAATGCAGCTGCCCACCTACTGATTCTGTGAGCCAGCACAACAGAATCATACAAATATTGTTTGAGCTGCAGAAGCTACCAGGAAGGTTCTGTGTCCAGCTCAAGGTTCTGATTGGGTGCTTGTTACTTTGGGACCACCTGCTGCAGGTAGAACCTACCTGTCTAATATGCACTGGCTGATAGGGGATTCCACAGATTCCCCTGGGGATGAGAGTCATAGCTCCTCACTTTGGAATAGGAGTCCCAGGCTGTTCAGAAGCATTAGGTGAGGTAGGATACAAATAACTCTGTAAATATAAAATTGAATAAAATCATTGTGAAGAACATAGTCCATATCTCCAATTATTAGGTTTTTGAATTTAACATGAACTTGAATTGAATAAAATATATTTTGCTAGTCTGTTGTCTTGTTGGAGTTGTATGTCTGTATTCTCTTCTTAGAATGAGGACTTTGCAGATTTTGAACCAAGCGGGAGTCAGAAAAAAATATCTGGTTTAGAAAGATTAGATTTTCTAACATAGATCAGTGGTCCAAAATACATTGCAATCTAATTTATTTCCCAGCCAATCTCCTTTGGTTTTTTCCCCCCTAAACTTTGTTTTCTAGGTCCTCTAGAAATCAAGCATAGTTTCTGCTTTATTATTGTTGATATATTACATATTTGTTCAAATATTTCCTGTTCTTGAACAAGACTACATTCACATGAAAGCTGATTTAAAAAAGAAATCTACCAACATTATGGTTCAATAAATATAATGTGAATCATTCGAGTTATGAACTTGGCAAATGCCAAACCTATTAACATTCTTCTTAATGTTTATTGAAGAAACCATAATTAACTGGGTCACTAAGCCATAAATATGGTTTAGAAACTATAAGGGCTAAGTTTGCACAACATACTAAATAAACAATCTTTTATCTCATGGTTCATTGGTTCACCTAAGTTAGAACTGGTTTCAGTGACTGGTTGTGGCTTTTCAAAGGACTGATTTAGGAACCTTTCCGAATTTTTACATCTTGTAATGGGGTTGTCAGGTGAGGCCCAGACTGCTTATCCTCACATCCCGGTTGCCGTTGTGTGAAGCTTACCAGGGCATTTCCTCACAATGCAGCCTTCATGTCATGACACCAATAATGTATATGTCTTCATCTCGGGGCACCAATATAATTTACATTAGGCCAGGAGGTTGGGTGAGCTTTGCTGGTGACATGGCGCTTTGTTTTGGGGGTTGTTGTTTGAACCAAGGCATCATGGGTTATATGTCATGGTGGTGGTTTTAATCTTTGTATGCTGCCCATACAGTTACTGGGCGGCTCTATAAATAATTTAAATAAATAAACATTAAATCAATGTTGCTTTTCCAGAGCTTGCACAAATGCTCAGGTAAGCTTGAGAAAAAATTAGAGAGGAAGGACTGTTCTGCATGTCTTATATGACTGCTATTATGATGGGGAAATAAACAAATATAAAGTGCAAAAATCGATATGAACTATTTTGTAACAGTTAATGGATGGGTCTGTCATATACCAGAAATATGGTGAAGCAAGGTTGGAATCGCTTTAACCTTAAATGGAGAGAAATGGTTATTGAGTCTGATTCCTAGTTCCTGCTCTGACTAATCGGATATATAGAACTTTTTCTTTTTTCATCTTACTTTCCATCCATATCACATTTTCGGCTTCCTACATATGAGCAGCTGCCTTACGGGTATAATAATTACATAACAGATACAGAGTAGGGGCCAGTATTGAAGTAAAAGCATCTGATTTGTCTTCTGGACTATGTGCCAGGAAGAATTGACCAGAATAATGCATGATTATATTGTATACTGTATAATAGAATATACTCTGTATAGTGTGATCTTTACCTCCTCATCCAGCCTTCACAGCTTTATAAAAAATGTGTATTTTACTATCTCAAAATACTTGCTGAAAAGTACCTCTATTTATCTACCTAGTGGAGTTTGTAACAGATGTTCTATCTTCCTCAGCACAACTCTCTTGAGGATTCCTTTTTTTACATACATGTTTCTCCCTTCATCTCATGACTCACAATTGGAGTTTCTGCTTATCTTTGGCAAAGTTGTTCTGTGCCTTCCCTCTGGGGGTGAGGGGGTGGGGGAATGCACCTAAAGAACTCCAAAATTCTGGTCTCTTTTTTTGCCTTTGTTCTAATTCAAGGATGTGAATCTCCTGGATTGGGTTGCTGAATAATATTTGTGTACTTAAGCTCTTGTAGAATTGATTAGAAATTAATAGGGTGTAAGCAAACAATGTTAGGAGAAAAATACTTTTTAAAAGCTTTTGATTTTTTTAGGGAAACTCTATGGTAATGAAGCTTTTGTGGAAGAACGACATAGGCATCGCTATGAGGTAAGTGACACCTAACCTATTTTTTCCAGTTTTTTTAAAAAAGTATCCATATTAAGACAATGACATGTATCACTTTATAGTATAACAGTACTGGACATCATCCTGAGGTTGGTGTTGGAATCCTTATATACAGCGAGAAGAGTCTAGACTGGGTCATGAATTCATGTCCTTAATGGCAACCATAAGCTTATGGCAGATTGTTGTTCGGATGCATGAAGATGGGCACATACTCAAGTTTGGTTTTTACTTGGAAGCAGATAGACATGATCTAAATATGGAGAGCATTGCTATTGCCCTTTTCCATTGTCAAACTGAGGATTCTGGGCTTCCTGGAACTCTGCAAGTGGGAAGAACCTTTTAGGACGGTCTCTTCCATTCACCTCTTGGATCTGGAAGATTTCAAGAGGGGATTGGGGATTTTCCCAGCAATTTGGTAGGCAGTTCCATTTCACACCATAGCACTGGACAAGACACTCCTGTGAGACCTTTTCCTTGTTTTCTGAGGATCTATGGAGGATGAAACATTTGAAAAGTGGCATAAAAACAAATACGAATATGACTGAACATTGGTCCTGCTCACATGTGAGCCTAGTTGGTGACAAGAAGAGTGGAAAATCATGTAGTCTTCTCCATGCTTATTGTGTCTGTGAATTCCTGGTCAGTGAAACTCTTCAGGGTGACTTGCACCCTGTTGGGATAGGATAGGCTGGACAAAGTTACTTCAGGCCATCCAGATGAAGTTGCAGATTGATTTGTGGGTAAAGTTACTTCTATTATTTCTGCTTTTGATACTAATTTAGCAGGGTCAAGTGAAAGAGAAAGGTTGCATCCTGCATTGCAATCTCAGGTTCTTCCAAGCTTGTGAAATCTGAGAAAGTAGATAGGGTCCTCTGCGATATAAGCTCTTCCACCTGTGGGTTACATGGGGTCAGGTTCTCCCCTTCTGGTTTCACTAGCTTTTGGCAGATGTGTTTGTGGCTATCTAATTATTATTATGATTGGTTGCACAATCAGCCAGATGTTTAGATTGGATTTGACATTTTTATCCACCTATTGAGTCCTTCCCAAGGACCCGGGATAGATAGATGTTGTTGTTTGATGGTGTTAAAGGTATTATTTGTTTTAATGTGGGTTTGGGGGTTTTCTGTTTTGATATGTGTACCACTCTATGGTCTATGTTGATTGGAGCAGTACATAAATAAATAAATAAATAAAGGAATACGGCAAATATTTAACCCTCAGAGAAATCTAATTCCTTCTGCATAATATGTTTCTGCATAATATTTTGTACATCCAAATATTGTAGAAAAATTGGGTTGCTGCTTGCTGTATTTACAGGTAGCTGTTTGTACTGTAAACTCTCACATATCTAATGAACAAGCCAAGCCTAGACAAATTCAGCGAAATATCCTTTTCCTCTTTGCTTTGTTTTCAAAGGAGTGGCAACTGCTCTTGCTACAGAATCTAATATCCTGTAGATGGGTATATGCATACTGTAGCTGTGCTTGGATTCCATCCATTATCCCAAAGCTATCTTTACCCTATAAGAAAGTCTGCCCTCAATTTGCCTTATTTGTCTCCCATACCTGGGATTAACTTTTCATACTGCAAATTATCTACAAAAAACAAATTTTGGGTCTTAGTAATTTTTATATGATGATTTTAAATGGTTATTTGTAAGTTTTCCTATTTTTAAAAGATTATTGACTTTATTTTAGTTTCATGTGAATATATTGGAAGCCAGCATGGATACAATTCTTAGCTAAAGTAACAGAAAAATCAATTGATAATTATTACATAGAAAATGATGCAGGCTTGAACAAACAAGAAAAAGCCATCTCTGCACAGAAGGTGAGAGAGAAGGGAATGTGCATCTGTGCCTCCTTCATTTATTTTCAAACTATGATTAGGCTATAATGGCTGAATCAGTCTGTTATTTGATTGTTACCAAAAGCTTTTCTTAATTAGAGCTACTAAAAATAATAAAGTCCTATAAGAAGATTGCAGATAAGTAGAAACACTGCACTACCAGTTGGTCTGGGTATCAGCTTTCACTACTATGACAGTACTTACTTTAGAACTCTTGAAGCAGTCCATTTATCTTTTACCTCTTTGCTTTCCCCCATTCCAGGTAAATCCTGAATTGATTCACTTCTTTGAAGATAAAGGTTTGAAGTTCGTTGGTCATGACACGGAAGGGAAGAGAATGGAGATAATTGAACTGGATGGTAAGGACTTGGGCTTCTGGCAACACCTTCTATATGAAAGATGAAGTATAATTAATGTTACTGTAAATGCATGAAGACATGATGATTCTATAAGAGTCAGTGCTGACATTTGTTAGTGCTTGAAATTTAGGGATATGCATCAATTGCCACATTAAAAATGGAACTATTACAGAGACCTAGCATGAGCTTTTTGTGAAAATAAGGATGTACATTTATCTAACTATGAAAACTTGAAGCGTGCTAATGAAATTTGGCACAAAAAGCTATTTCTGTAATCTAGCCAGCCCTAAATTTATGCCATGGATTATTCCATGATCTATAATTGTAGACTTCTAAGGGACAATGAGTCCAAGCTCATCTTTCAGTAGCTGTCCAGCCCAGTGTTTGAATGCTTTCAGTGAAGGAAACTCACCACCTTTTTTGGTAATTGATGCCTTTGTCAAATTGTTCTTACTATTAAACAAACTATTCTTGACATTCATCTAAAATTGGCCTTTCATATCCTGCGATATGAAATCATAGAGAACTATAGATGTCCCATGTGACATCCTTTCCTGGACTTGAAAAGTTATTCCTCCTTCCAACCTCTTTTCTGAAGGCTAAACATAGTTACTTCTCATAAGACTTGGTTCTTCATGATCTCCTGAACATGTATTGTGTGCCTTTGTATGTGAATTCAGAGATGACCAATTGAAGAACTTTACTTGAGATAAGAAACCAGTTTATCTTTCTTAATCTTGGGTTCTGTGGTTCCTGCTCCTGAGCATGTGCATTAAATCAAACATGTGAATTTTCAGATGACCACTTAAAGAACTTTAGTTACTGGTAAGTAACTAGTTCTTTCTAGTTCCTTGATCATTGTTGTTGGTTTTTTCTGAACCTATTCCAGTTTCTCTGGGCTTTTCTTAAAATGTAGTGCCCAAAACTGGATGCAGGACTTGAAGTGGGGTCTAACCAATGCGGAATAGAATAGAACTGTTGCTTCCATGGTCTGGAAAATAAACTGTTGCAGATGAAGCCTAAAATTATATTGGTCTTTTTAGCAGCCACATCATTCTGCTGACTGGTATTTTGCTTGTGAGCGACCACAATTCCAAAATCCCTTTTACGTGTAACTATTGCTAAGCCATGTATCCCCCATCCTATAACAGTACATTTGTTTTCTGTTTTTAAGTGTAAGCATTTGCATTTATCTTAATTAAATTTCATTTGGTTTTTAGCAAACTTTGTTAACCTAAACTTTGTTAAAATTTTGTTAAACTTTGTTAACCCTAAGTAAACCAAAAGACCCAGTAGCCCAAGAAGAAAAAGCAGGAGTCATCTACAACATACAGTGTAAGGACTGTAACAAACACTACGTAGGACAGACAGGCAAAAGACTAGCAGAGCT